CACCCACCCACAATGCTTAGCACATCTTTTTTCTCCATGGGCTTACCTCTGCCATACCCAGTTCAGCAGGGAAGAGACCTGGCCCAAGCTGGGTGGCATAATCTTTTCTGGGAGGAATGTTAGGAGTTGCTGACCATGGAGAAGATATAAACTCTTTTCTAATAATCATTCCTTGACCACAATATGTGTTGTGTGGGTAGATGGGTGTACACAGTGGGGGTGGCCATTTCTGGATGTGCACACACCATGGCAGAGAATATCTATTCGCAGAGAAGAAGAATGCCATGGAGCGTATAAAGAAACCAAGAAGGGAAAAAAAAAACACAAAAAAACACAGCTCCCTGGTCCCTCATGAGACACGTGCTTCCCTCCCCACTGTGGATTCTGAGTCACTCCCCTCTCTCGCCAAAACATTCCTCTTTTTAATTTCAGGGAGCAACATTGGTTGCTTGCAACTAAAATAACTTTGTCTTCCATCACTAAAACTAGATCTGAGACCTCCAAAGCCTTCACTGAGTCCTCCTGCCTCCACTAACGTACAAACACTTACACTTTTATAAAGGATGGCTTAGGAGACAATATAAAAATGGACCACTGAAATCCATCAATACCAATGTATGAGCAACAAGACAGATCTTTATTAGTTTTCTTTATTCTTTCTTTATTTGCAGTCAGTTTACTCATTTTTTGACCATCAAATAATCACCCACTCTGAGTAAGGTAGGAGTAAGGTCAGTGCTCAGAGTCAAAGCCTGCTCTCAGAAGAGAGATAAGTCATGTCTGCAGGTCAATAGACACAGAGAAATAATACCAGGCATTTATGTCCAGGCACTGAGCTACCAGCTTTCCTTGCACAGCATCAGTTCATGCCCACAGTATCTGTATGGGGAAGGGATCATCATTCCCCCAGTTCTGTAGGTGACATAACTCAAGCTCAGACAAGTTGGGTACTTTTCACATGGTCGGTGGATGATGGAGGCTGGATTTGGATTCAAGGAGTCTGGACTTTACTACCTATTTGCCTCCTATGCTTTGCCTTCTGGATTGTTGTAGAATGAAAAGAAGCTCTTCATAGACTTGAGGGCCCTGTTCCTTGCCTCCCTGTGCCTTTCCCCAAAGCATTACTTCTTACACACAACAGGGGATCATTCACCAATTAACCTGTGAATACAGAAAACCCAACGATCATTGAGCTCTTACTATGTCCTAGCACTGAACCAGGCACCTAACACATACTATATTCCCAGTGTAGGCTGGCAGATGGCAGGAGACAGGGTGAGTGGAAAGGCATCTGGTTCATGTGGTCACTCAGGGACCCAGGCTAATGAAGGTTGCTCTATCTGATGACTATCCCATCATGTAGCTTCAGAGTTTGTAAGAGCAGAAGAGAGTATAGACACTACCACACCAGCTCTTAAATGCTTTAACCCAGAAATTACCCAGGTTGGTTTTGCTTATAGCCAACTGGCCAGAACCAGTGTTAAGGCCCCACATGGGAATGGTGAGTGAGCACTTGGATATTTGGTGCACAGGGCATTCTCTCAATAACACGCAGCTACTAAGCAGTACAGTGGAAAGGCTTAACCACTTTATTTGACGATGTCCTCCAAATTTATGAACATACTTTTGAAGAAGCTGTTATAAGCCTATCAATAATCATTCGGAAACACCCAGACCTTATCTTAGAATTCAGTCTTCTAGAACTCTCTACTTTCTCATGACTATCTCAATGTCTGCATCTCCAAAGGGAAGTTATTCTGATTCATGCACATTAGAAGGACCTACCTTTGTTGGCACAGGCCATCCACTTGAGATTGTCTGCAAAAGCCGCCTCCCGTCCAATGAGGTACGTAAAGATGCGAACCTGAGAGGAAGATGAACACATGGATCAATGGTATTAACTTTGCACTGTCCTGCACAGACCACATGCATGGCTCACACACATGTGGTTTACCTCTTTAATGCTCCATGCTTCCCATCTGTAGGAACATATTTAAAACATTTGAAGTTACAGTCAGCTAGAAATATATTCAAAACTGGGGCCTTTGATCTTTTAAACCATATGGCACTGGTGGTGGTTGTTTTTCGGTGTGGAACTTGCGACAGAGGAGAATAAGTTGCAATGAGAAATGGGCAGCATCATGGGCCTGGGTTTGTTGCACACATATGGACAAGGATCATCTAGGTCTGGACCAAATCCGCAACCATTTTCCTCATCCGCACAGGAAATGCAGAGTGTGTGCTTCTTGGGAATAAAAACGCCACAGAAAGACCCTTAACATTTCCCCCCAGTGGTGAGGACAGGCTGGAGACACTCTCTTGCCATCTGTGGTTCCTGGTGTGATTTTAGGAGGTAATTAACTGGGATAAGAGGTACAGCCTGCAGCCAGGAGACCAATGGGGATGCTCTCAAGCCTTCCTAAGTTTTTGGCTCCCAAAGAGCAGAGAACACAAGTAAAACCTTGGCTGTTATATTTGCTATTGCTTTCTCAACTGTCTCTCCTAAGGCCAGAATGCTTTATTTGTTTCTTGGTTTTTTTTTTTAAATTAAACTATAGTTGACATGCAACATATATTATTTTCAGGTGTACAACATGGTGATTCGACATTTACCATATATTCCTTACAATGTGATCACCCCGGTAAGTCCAGAAACCATCTATCACTGTACGTTTATTACTATAATATTGAATATTTTCCCTATGTTGTATATTATATCCCCATGTTTTGTTTTGTTTTAACTGGAGGTCTGTACCTTTTATTCCCCTTCATCCTTTTCACCCATCTTCTTACTCCTCTCCTTTCTGGCAACTATCAGTTTGTGCTTGGTATCTATGAGTCTGTTTCTGTTTGCTTTATTTATTTGTTTTGTTTTTTAGATTCCACAGGGGAAATCATAGAGTATTTGGAGAGGATGTGGAGAAAAGGGAATCCTCGTGCACTGTTGGTGGGATTGTAAATTGGTGCAGCCACTATGGAAAAATAGTATAGAGGTTCCTCAAAAAAATAAAAATAGAACTGCTATACAACCCAGAAATTCTACTTCTGGGTATCTGCCTGAAGAAAATGAAAACACTAATTCCAAAAGACATATGCATCCCAATGTTCACTGCAGTGTTTTTTACAATAGTTAAGATATGGAAGCAACCTAGGTGCTCATTTGATAGATGAATGAATAAATAAGATGTGGTGTGTGTGTGTGTGTGTGTGTGTGTGTGTGTGTGTGTATGATATTACTCAGCCATGAAAAGAATGAGATCTTGCCACTGGCAACAACATGGATGGACCTAGAGGGTATTACGCTAAGTGAAATTGTCAAACAGAATTCTTTGAAATGAACCAAAACCCATCTCCCAAAGTAGTATTTGAAGGATAGATGGAAGAAAGACAGGAATTAAAAGGGTTAAGACCCTTTCATTAAATTTAAAATGGTATGTGGGTGAACACTACACAGTCCAAATAAAACTCTAATGGCAGGCCAAGAACAGTCCTTTGGTCACCTCTTGGAGACTGCGTTAAATGAAGATATACGTGGTAGTAGACGAACAACGCTTGACATGTGGCACCAAAGCTTTACCCACTACTATCCCCTCAGCTCCTCCAGACTGGGCCAGGTGACCCTACTGCTCCCCCAGAGCTTTTATCACAATTGTAGTTAAAGAGCATCTTGTGTGGTTGTGTCTGTGAGTCTGATCTCCACTAGATTATCCACTTGTGAGGGAAAAGAAAGGTGGCATCTCTTTCCCCGGCTGTGACCTGATGGAGCACAGTATTTGGAACATTACAACTCAATACATCAATGGGTAAACATATGTGAATGCTCATAGTTGACTGTAAAAATGAAGACTTGTTTTAATTATGAATATCCTCTTATCTGGGAATTAGAACTTGAAGAGTAGTTTTTAGATGATGGTTTCTTTCCAACTAAAGAGATGTTTAAATACACATTATCATGATGTAGCCTTAGTCTGTCCTCATCTGTGTTGGGTAAGGTAGCCATTTCATCTATCACAGTACCCGCAAGGGGGCTTCCTGGGTGAATGACAGGCAGAGAAGCCTTCACCCCTTTTCACCCCCTTAGCTGTTTTCCACATCATTCCCACACTGGAGTCACATTGGGAGGAAGGATTTTTTTTTTTAATTGGGAGATTCTGGCTTCTCTTGGGGGGCGGGGAGAAAGGGAAGATTCGACCTCACGTAGCCAAAGGTGGTTGCCATTTACGTCCCTACACAAAGTTGTCTGCTCTTCACTTTTCCTGCCTGGCCACTGCTGGCATCTAGCTGATGATGTCTGATTTGGGAGACACTGAGGCCCAGAGAAGTAAAGTGATTTGCTTAGTTTCTTCAAGTGCTGATCTAATCAGAGCGGTCTTCTGAGGCCTCAGGATAATGCTGGGGGCTCCTCTTCACTTCCCAGAGATGCTGGCTCTGTAAACACGGAAAACCCCAACCAGCTGCAAGGCCCAGAGCCAGCACCCACAGCAGCCAGAACTGGAATCCAGTCTCTCGAGACCAGACCTGTGATTTGTGTCATAACACTTTGCCTTTCCTTTCAAATTTAAGGGCAAACACTAAGGCTGACACAAACTTGCATCCCCACTGGCTCTGAACCAAGCAGAAAGCACAATAGGTAGCTTTTAGAAATTGAAGCTATGAGTCCATCTTTGTAGGCAAAGAGGAAAAGACTGACACAAAACAACCCATTTGTTTCTGAGTACAGGTGTCTATGTGTGCGCCAAACCTCCTCTGCTGTCCAGATGCATGACCACAGGACACAGTGAGCTCTCTCAGAGGCATAGTTAAAACACCAGAACAACACTGTGAATCACTGGCATAACTTCTCTAATTCCTGATTTTAAAAGATGGCAACCCATTTGGAAAACCAGTAGAATTGTGCCAAACTTAAGACTAGACATGGTTGCTCAAGAATAATTGGGCTAACAACAATCACGATAATGAAAACCAGCACTACGACCCCGCCACACACACACCACCACCACCACCACCACACACCCCACTGTGGCCTGTATAGCTAGCGTCGTCCCCTGGGGCAGGCAGGTGCTAAGGGATTTACCACGTTATGCTGGTTTTGGTGGTTTGTATTTATTTTATTACTTATAAAAGAAAATAAGAATCCTATTTAATATTTCCATTTAGGTACAGTCCTTGGTGTCCATCACTGGACTGGCTTCCTTATCTGAGTAGAAATGGCACGGAAATGACTTGTTGCATCTCTGCCTATAAAGTAAACATAATCAAACGATATTGGGTTCACGCCCTGGGTTTCTTACAATAATGCCTGTCAACTGGCAACAACAACAAAAGGGATTTCACTCCAAAATAAATATTTTGGAGAACAATTTAACAGTATCTATAGCATTTTATAATTGTAATTTTTTCAGAACCAGTCATTCTACCCTTTGGCATTTATCTCATAGCCAGGATGACAAATAAAATGCCCAAGGGGACCAAGCTCATAACAAAGATGACAGGAAGTAGTAGGATTATGGAGAAGTGCAGAGTGCATATCTTCTCAAAGCCGTGTAATTTAGTTTTGCACATTTTCACAAATACACAAAAATGATAAAAGGACAAGGATGCCCACCCTCATTATTTGTAATGGATAAAAAACTGGTAAATCCTAAGTGTCTCTTGAGAGCTGATTGGCTAAAAACTTTATAGTACATTCATGCAGTGGCATACCATGCAGCTATGAACTCATGTACAAAGACATTCATTATAAATTGGTAAGGGGAAAAAACAAGTTGTGGGATATTGTGTAGCACAGAATCCTATTTTTTTCCTAAAAGGGGACTTACTCTTTTTACTTCAGAAATTTCAGTTGCATTCAAATGTTTTTACAAATAAACAAACATTGCTTTAATAATTAAAGATCACTTTGAATGAAAGGAAAGGAATGACAGCTACCTCTTGAACCATTCTGTAAGGGCGTAGGAAGACTAAACATAGCAGTGAAAATCACACAGAAGAGACGACACGTGGAACTTAAGTCAGGCTTTATTGTGCAGGGTGGGCACAATTAACTGAGGGCAAACCTCTATGAGCAACATGGTCAAACTGCTCATTTCCATCACTAACAGATCCCGTGAACTGATGGATTTGATTTCCAATGGCTGCACATGTCTTCCCTAAGAAGTGCTATAAAACAAACTTTTGCAAGTCCGCCCTGGACCCAATTACTTTTCTGATGTGACAGGTGCCACTGGGGGTGGACCTGGCAGCCAGGTACAGGGCACTGAATATCACGCATGAGAAAAAGGTCACAGCCCAGGTCAGACCAGCACAGGTGTCAGGACACACTAGAGTTCCCCAGAAAGCCTGGCCCTTGTGCTCTGTCCCTGTGGGCAAGAAGGCACTGCTTTTATGAATGCAGCACAAAGGCAGGGTGGAAAAAGTCTGCACCAACCGATTTATTCGTTTTGATCCCCCACTTAAGTTTGGATGGTCTTTAAATGTTCTACAGACCCAAGGAAGATTAATTAAATGTTAAGATGTGGACATTCCAAAGTTCAAAGTCACGTAATTTAATCTACTTAGTATAAAATTTCTCAAATGAAACAAACAAAAACTCAATCCAGTTTTTCCAAAAAACAGATTTATGCTTCTTACTCATATAGATGCAATTCCCACCAAAAACTTAGAGGGGCATCACTCCTCTCAACCTTTGGTGAGTGTAGGTAGTTTGAGTTTATAAAGACAGTGACTCAAATTCTCCCCTTTCTGCAGCCATTAGCATAGAGGAAGGGAAGTAGCTGCCAGTAGTACGATAATGGGACTCTACTCAGCCAGGCCACTGGCTGCTGCCGCTTACACGGGTCCCGACAGTAATAAATGGGAGGTCAC